AAAAAAAAAAAAAAAAAAAAAAAAAAAAAAAAAAAAAAAAAAAAAAAAAAAAAAGACACTGGGCAAAATAATTCCTATTTATACCCATAGACCTAGGCTCAGCCTTCATCAGGGAAGCTTCTCTTTTTGCAGTGACAAGCTGTCAACGGAGGCATGTGCATAACTGGTCAAAGTGCCCAGAATAAGCAGCTCTACTCAGTGCTCGGCCATAAACAGGACCTACACATCAATGCCTACTCTTCCCGAGCAAGACTCAGGGAACATCACGGAAGAGACGATGGAAAGGATGTAAGGCCCAGAGAACGGCGAGGAACACTCTATGAAATGTTGTCTTCTGGACATGACATGGGTGTTGCAGTCATGAACTTACAGTGCCTGTGGTTACGTGTACACCCCCAGCATAAGATCAAGCTAGCCAAAACTCTGACATAGATGGGGTAGATGACCTCTAGGCCCTGTCCCTTACTGAGGGGCCACTGGCAGTGGCCAGTCGCTTTGAGAGGGAGGATCCTCCTCAGAGGGTGTGGCCACTGTTAAGACTCCCATGTTCCAGTGGATGGCCCCATACCCGTGCACATATGGGCAGCACTAATTGGTCCTCATGAGTTATCCAACAATAAGACATGAGATTGGGAAGGAGACATATTTCAGGGCTGTGGGAGAGCTGGAGGGAGGAAACAGGGTTAGGTATGATTAGGCTGCGTTACATACCTCCATAGAATTCGTAAGAATTAAAAGTTTCACCAAGTTTCTGGATATCAGTTTTTTCCTCTGTCCCCACAGCTCTGTTTCCTCAAGGGCTGGACATGGCCGAGGACTCTGGAGCTGTCATATTGGGTCGCTAGCTGCCAGCTCAGGTGCTCCCAGAGACATCATCCCACCCTGGCATGTCTAACCTTGCTTTCGGCTAGGCACTGATTGCGGCATGAATACCCCCAGTGTTATCTTCTCTAGTTAACGCCTCCCTCTCCCCCCTTAACCTGGCCACTGGATTGTCTATTTAACTGCTCCGTATAAAGCACAAGTCTGGGAGTCTTAGGCTAAGGCCGGCTCTGCCCACTTCTATGCCTTATACTTCCCCTAATGCAAGTCCTCCCGCACACTCTGCAGGGAGGCCAGGGGCTCCTGCCAGGTCCATCAGCTCTCAGAAGTTCTGAGAAAGTCCACCAGCCCTTATGCGGGCCCTCATGCAGTCAGGGGCCCCAACATCTACCTCCTACCCGTTGATTTGCTGTGTGACCTCTGCCCTATCATCACCCACCTTATTCCGGGTTGGTGGCACCGGGCTTCTTGGGGATGAGATGAGAATCAATGACTGTTTTATACTTTCCACCCAGGGCCCACGGCTGAGTGTCAGAGGGGAGGGCGGCAAGGAAAACCTACTCACATTTCCTCGCTGCAGTTGTCTGGCCTCTCCATTCTGTGGCCTGTCTTCAGAAGGTTGAAGAGTCGCTCAGGAGGAATTCCAGGGTAGGGGTTGCCCCCCAGGGTCACAATCTCCCATAGCAGTACCCCAAAGGACCACCTGTAGTGAGCAAGGGAACCAGTAAGCAGCTTCCGGGCTCTGAAGCCCCCTTAGTGAAACCCAGATGTTTATATCTTTAGCCTCCAATGCCTAAGTGGATGACACAGGGATTTTAGCCTAGCTCTGACTGCACCAGCAGGTGCTAACAGAAGTGGGCGAGGTCCCCCTGCCACCTGGACCAACTTGGGATGCTCACGTCCCTCCCAAGCTGCTGCCATTGGTGCAACTACACTTAAAGGGGTGAGACCCCAGCAACAGAACTTAAGGTGTGCTGTGTAATTTTATAAAGACTTGGAGCACCTTTCAGAGAAAATATTTAATATAAGAACACACGATAGGGTGGAAATAAAAGTATCATAAAACATGTATCACCTGGCAATAAAGCATGTGTGGGCACACCACAGAAGCTATCCGAAGGGCACCAGGAGGGAGGTGCCCAGTGTGATTCAAGGCTGTTAGTCGCCTATTGTCTTCTTCTTTGCATTTTCCAGTTCTTTTAAAGCAACTTTGTATTATTAGAAAACAATTCTCTAAAATTGCTTATAAAGATCTCTATTTTCATAGCCCAGATTTTTCAAGATCTGCAGGCCTGCAGATTGAGGATCACTTTAGAAGCAAGTTCTTTTTTCTTTTCTAGAAGCAAGTATTTTGTCTTTAGAAAAATAAATCCCGTCTTGTCATCTGTCCACAAGTACGGGCTCCCATCTGTAAGCAGTGTGGGATACACCAGTCCACAAACTCATAAAAGACTAACTGTAGTGTAGTGGGGTCCCCGCCCCCCACCTGTGGGCAGGTGACATCACCGGATGCCCTGTCTGAGTCATATTCCTTCCAGCACTCAGGGGAGAGCAGCTGTCTGCAAGACCCACCCAGAGGACGGGAGGGAAGTGCAGAGGAAGCCATGGAGGGAAGTGGGCCACGACCGCCCCACCCCACTCCGCCCCGACCCACCCCACCCCACTCCACTGTGGTTGGCATAACCACTACTTGGGCCCAGCCATTTGCTGAATGAATGGCTGATGACCTAGCCTGAACTTGTTGCGCATGACCAACACTGCAGCTGGGTATCCGGAACCAAGCTGCAAAGACAGGCATGATGGGCCAAAACCACCACCCCAAGATGGCAACTCCCACACTTACACATCGCTTTGAGTGGTATAGACGTGATCAAAGAGGGACTCGATTGCCATCCATTTGACGGGAATCCGGCCCTAGAGGTAGTAGAAGAAGGCATCAGTGCAGCTCTGAGCTCCGTAACCAAGGTACTCAGCCATGTCCCTTTAGCTCCAGCTCCAGAGGAAGCCTAGGGTACCAGGTCCTAGGACGGACCAACTATGCACAATCTAGGAGTCACAGCTCCAGCCTGAACCTTTGGCTTTGTGGAGATGCTACTGGGAGTCAGGGCAACCACCCACAGTCAAAGATAACTTTTCACACGCCACAGGCCTGCAAAGAAACCTAAGAAATCCCCCTATAGTAGAGCTGCAAGGACTCTGAGCACCCTGAGGGGCAGAACAGTGCTCCCAAGTGCAGAGCCCATTTCTACTATCCCAAGAACACATGCGTTTGGGAAGCCAACTCCTAGTTTCCATCCATAAACTTGGTATGCCACCACACCAAGGCTCATCTGCAAAACCTTGAGAGAAGAAAATGCTTGTGTTAGCAAAGCTGTAATTTCCTTCTCTTAGGGCCTTTTCAGCATCACAGAATGAGCACCCCCCCCCTCCACCAGCAGCAATATGGGCATCTCACTGAACAAATCCTTTTCTAAAACCATGAAAAGCTTTAGTGGACACGCCTTGTCCTTTATCCTCACCATTTGCACAGGATGGTTCCATGAGGGAATCTCTCATTTGTAAAATCACACATCCATGACCACTTCTATTGCTCAAACACGTTTCTCTGTGATTACACCCTTCGTGATGTATGACTGTGCTTCCAATCGTGCTGCCTGCGGAGCCTGCAGCCTGGGCTCTCAGGAGCTGCCAAAGTCCCTGTAAGCTACTATAAGCTATACCTATGTACATCCTCTGTGACAACAGTCCTCCCTAGAAGATATGTGTGTGTGCATGCATGTGCACGTGTGTGCGCGCGCGCATGCATGCACAGGAGTCTCTGCCACATCCTCTACTGTGTGGCACAGCAGCCTCTTCTACTTCCTCTGTGCGGTCTGAGGTCTGTTGTCACCACAGAAACCCCATAACAAACAAAGGCAGTCCTCATAACCAGTGCTAACCTACAGCAAGGCTGTAGCCAAGAAGCTGTGTGCGCTGCCTCGAACGCTGGGTCACTAGATCCCTGAGCAGGCCCAGATGTTAGGTGACAAGGCAAGGTGGTTACCACAGGAACATGATGATGTCAGTGAATAACATGTCCATCTAGTGCTCAGACCTGGAGCAATTTCTCAGGAGCCCTGAGGTGCATTTAGGGACGCAGTTTTGCGCAGAGACCCCAGGGAGATGTCTATGAAAAACAACAAAAGAAGGCCAATCATGGGCCTGCCTATCCCACTTCAACCCTCCTAGGAGCAAAGAGCAGTCACACAGCGGTCAGCAGCCTTATTCTAAGAACTGAGGAACTGTAGGGAGCAGACTAGACTACAGTATTGGGGTGTCTTGGAAAGTGACTAGAAACAGCAGGAATCCCACGAAGATCATATACAAGAAAGGTCTGATGGGTCCTGGGCACCCAGGGATAGAGTTCCACTTCTCCAGTCTTTCTAAGGGTTGACACCCAACCCTGTCAGTCCAGCTGTGAACCCACTGCCCCACCTGGAAACTCGCCAGCATACTCGTGGCCAGGTACCTTGCTTTTCTTCACATAGGAATCTTCTTCGTAAACATCTCGGGACAGGCCAAAGTCGGAAATCTTCATCTTCCGTCCTTCCGCCACCAAGATGTTCCTGGCAGCTAAATCCCGATGTACAAGCTACAGAAAGAAAACAGCAGGAACCCTCAGACCGGCCAGGGTGGGCGGGATCTGGGATGGGCACCAGGAGCAGCACAAAGTCTGTGGCGCTCACCTTCATCTCAGCCAAGTACTGCATACCCCTTGAGATCTGCCAGGCAAAGGAGATGAGGTCACCCATGGTCAGTACCCGTTCGTCCGGGTGGTCTAGGGAGCTGGAATTGCGGCTGCCTCCACTGCCCACATAGCCAGGCCCAATCTTGCGGCTGTCACGGAGGAATCCCCGCAGGGAGCCATACTTGGCATACTCCACAATGAGAAGAAGTGGCCCTGGGGACAGAGAGAGGCAGCCCTGGGCATGGGGTCAGGCCAGCCTCAGGCTTCGAGTACGGTGGGGGAGCAAGTGGATGGGGACAGACCTGCTCTAGGCAGTCAGCAGTCAAGGCTCTATGGATCATGAATCTATGGAAGGCCAACGCACTCCTGGCCCACACTGGCCATGACATGGACATCAGCTCCTTTTAAGGTAGACTAAGACCATCCCCACAGTGTCTGAGGGAATGAACTCTGTTCTTAGCCCTACTCTAAGAGCTAACACAACCCGCTACTAGAACTTTATACTTTTTCCATCCTTGGTCCTGCAGGTTGGGAACGGAAAACCAATGGAGGCAGAAAGGCTTAAGGCTTGTGCAAATCTGACAGCTCAGTCTTGGCCCCAGCTAGCTCTGCACCAGTCTGTCTCCCTGCTCCTGCCTGCCTTCAAATACTAGGGGTACAGGCAGGCATACATCTGGTTCTTTGCCTCCCTCACACTGTGTGTGCACGTGCTTCAAAGTCCGAATAACTAACAGACAATGCAAACTCCCTTGTCCTTAATCTGAGAAGGTGACAATGCTCCTTCCCTGCAGAGCTGGGGTTAGGGTCACCTGTGGGGAACAGCATGTTTGCTATTATGTAGGTTGCCAGGATACTGCTCCTTCCTGGAGCTCCCCAGAATGGATGCCAATGCTGTAGACATGCCCTCAGCAGGCCCAACATGAACCTCTAGCAGAGGTGCTTGCTCAGCTAGCAGACATAGACACTCTCCAGAACAGAGTGGAGCCAGACACCCAGACTTCCAGAAAGGAAAATTAAGTGGGTGACGTATAGCAAAGGGGAGAAGGTGGTCCCAGCCCTGTCGGTGGTTACCAGCCCATCCGCCCACCCTATCATCTGGCCAGCCTTACCGTCTTGGCTGCAGGCCCCATACAGCTTGATGACATGGGGGTGGTTGACTTGCTTCAAGAGGTTGAACTCTGACAAAAGGTCTCGTAACTCACTCTGGGAGGCGTTTTCTGAAACGCAGCATGTAGAAACCTGGGTTATTACAGGCTTTGGGTCCCCGTGACCACACCGCGTATGAAACAGACTGCCCTCTCCCTCACAGACCCACGTCCTGGGTTTAAACGGAGGCCCTCAGCACTCATCTGGTTAGGGCTCCAACGGTGGCCTCATATACTCCTGGGATAAGAGCCCATAGAGCTAGCATCCACAAAAGCAGGGTCTTCCCACCCACGTCCGCACGACCACTGTCTATGTATACGGCAGCCCGTCTCATTAGCTGCCGTCTTCAGAGGGGAGAAGCCTACAGAGAATACCCCTGTCCCTCTTCAGTCTTCCCAGAAGTCGTCTTGCCTATGTCCCCACACACCTGCTTGTAGAAACAGGTGCTGGGCAAAGGAGAGGCCCCCATACTGAGCCCGTATCTCCCGTTCTACAATCCGCCCAACACCAGCTTGGAGCCCTGTGGCCCTCTCTAATGCTGGGAGCATGCGCTCAGTTACTGTGAGATACTGCACGAAGGCAGCAGAGTGAAGGCAGCGTTAGCATTTTGCAGCTCCCGATACATCCGCGTTTTCCCAGTGAAGTAGAGTTCCGTGCTTCCTTTGAGGGCCTAACTGCATCTGGCACATTGTGCAGATGATCAGATTTCACCGAAATCGTAGGAAACACATGTCCCGAGGGCGGCCAGGGTTGGCTCTGGTTCTCACTAGGCACTTGAATACCAAGTTATACGAAGTGTCAGACTTGTAACCAGGCACTCTTCCTGGTTGGCCGGCCATTGGCACTGTTGCCTCTGGCACTGAGACTCATCTTGGATGAAGGACAGACACAGCTGGGAGATAGGGTGCCAGGACCCCTTGAGCCAGGTCTAGGGAGGGCAGGAACTGAGGGATGAAATTGGTCTGAGTGTCTGGGGAAATACAGAGCTCTCCGTGCTGCAGTCCCTGACCATAGCACTGAACTCAACTATACGCCCATCATATGAGCTCTTCATCACACAGTCCGACTGCCACGGGGCCCTCAGTTCACAAGGCCGGAGACCTGACCACAGTGAAGGCTACCCGCCATTCAGTGCAGCCATAGCCTCTGATCAGAATCACACCCACTGCGTAAGAAAGGTACCTGTGTGCATTGAGAGCCAGACCCAGGACATGACAGGTCACAGGAACAGAGAAGACCCCTAGGGTTGCTGGGATGGGGGACAGTCCTTACATAGAGAGAGGAGTCTCTTCATTAGGACCCCAGTGGCCTCTCAGATGAGAGCAATAAATGGGGCAGACTGGGGTATCATTTCCAGGAACTGAGCTGTTCTTGGACAGGGTGCAGAAACTGTATGACAGCATCTTCCACCAGAGCAAGGTCCTTGCCTTGCCTCTTGAGAACACTGGCTACATCTCCACGGGGTGCTCAGATGGCAGCTACCACAGAACAGCAATGGGAGCTCTGCAGAGGGGGGTCTCGTGGAAGGAGGGTCACAGCCACCCCGCAGATGTGGCACCTAGACAGGTACCTTTCAGCATCTTCACGGCCACTGTGGTGTATCCTGCCCGGCCTTTGAGACGGAAGGCTGTCGCCTTGACCACTTTTCCGAACTCTCCTTCTCCCAGGGTCTTCCCAAGAACCAAGCTCTTCCGGGGGAATTCCCACTTCGGATCCTCCTGTGTTAGGATGGAGATGGGGCCGTTAGTAGAGAAGGGAGAAAGGAGCGATGGGTAAAGTTGAGCAAGAAGGCAAGTCCATTAAATACTGACCCTTAGCTCTGCCCCGACAAGAGCCCGTATGCAGAGAGCTGGTCATCACCTGAGCCACAGACACCATTTCACAACTCACCCACTGAGGACACTGCGGCCAGCCCAGGGAGGCCATAAGTCTCCAGGGGAAGAGCCTGGACTCAATGGGCACCCATGGCTCAGAACACATCTCAACCCAGAATTTCCCCACAGTGGAAACATTCAGAGCAATGCCCACCTATTGGTGGAGGCTGCTCATTTGTTCCTGGCAGCTCAGACCCGAAATAATCACACAAGAACTGTATCATTTGCAATCACCACGTGGTTGTGGCCTACTGGTAAGGTTCCACCTGGTGTTCGGGGTCTGTCTCCTGCGGCAGTTCCATTGCTTCTCACTGACTCCACCTACTTTAACCCGTTTCCATTGTTTTGTGCATTGCCACGTGGCTGTGGCTTATGGCATGTCTGTCTCCTGCAAAGGCTACATGGAATCTGACTGACTCTGCCTACTTTCTCCCAGCATTCAGTTTAGTTTTCCAGCCTAGCTCTATTCTGCCCTATCACAGGCCAAAGCAGCTTCTTTATTCATTAACCAATAAAAGCAACACATACACAGAAGGACTTTCCACACCACCCACCCCATGTGGCTGCCTGCTAAAGAAAGACGTCACAGCCCTGGGGAAACTCCCACCCTGAGGTGTGAGGCAGCTGCTCCTCGCATGGCCTGTCCTATGCACCCCCACTTTGCTACATCCCAGCTTCATCTCTGGCTAGTAGGCTGCCTTCCCAGCATTCCATTCAAGTCCTACCCACACACAATCATACGACCACTTTGGACTCATGCCTAGACTTTCACCAGCCATGTACAATCCTTCAGGAAGCGGTCACCCTGTGACGCTGGTACCATGTGCATGCCCATCATCTCCCGTGCCCTTGAATGTAGACCTCAATTTCTGTTTATAAGATGCTTTCAGGCTTCCTCAGACACAGAGCTTCCCGAGACCAGAGATAGTATTTTGACATCTACATGGCATGTGGGGAGCGCCTCCTTTTAGTACACAGTCCTACATTCTCTAGCAAGCTCCTAAGTGATCCTGGTGCTTCCTGAAGCCTCGTGAGTGCAAACACACCATGGATAGCACCAGAGTCACAGCCCCACTGCCACGCCTCCATTACAGGCATGAGAAACCTATGTGGGGTGCACCAGAGACTATACCAAGTATGTGAAAAATATACAAACATACTCCTTTAAAATTTTAAGAAAAATCATTATTTTTATTCCAAGTAGCCAGGTCAGGAGCACCAGGTGGCAACTAAGCTTCAGGAGTCAGCCCACCAGGAAGCCAGGCACTGATGGGTAAATCTCAGATAGGTAAGCCCCACCCACCCACCCTCCAGGGCTTCATCCCCAGAATGTCTCTTGCTACTGCTGTGCCTTTACATGTTTGCTAATGTACCTTTCTTGCTAGGATGGGCTGCTATCAAAGCTGATGATTAATTTCCTTTACCCATTTCTGCCCTCAGCTTCCTGATAAAAAAAAAACTATAGATGAGTAAGTGTGCCCCCTGAGGATTTAGAATAGAGCTAACTGTTTTTCAAATATAAAAGTTCAGATTTGGGATTCAAGATTGTTTATAAGATTATCTTTTGAGATAAATAATAAAGTGATTGATCCTTTCTTTGTAACCACAAAAAGCAGCCTGCTAGTAGAAGAACTGGCTGAGGAAATGCCTGGCTTGCTTACACTATTAATTTATAACAAGTAGGACATGGATTTATGTGGGTTCATGGGGATAATTCATTTTCATCTGTAATATCAAAATGTTTAATCATATAAGGGATATGGAAAACATGTTTTTTTTTACTTGAATTCAGTGATCATTCACTTTAAAAAAATAAAATGTTACCACATTAATTTTTATACTGCTGGAAAGGTTTTGCTGGGGTATATAATCTGTAAGGAAAAAATGAAGAATTCACAGAAGGCATACATTGGGATAGAGAGAAGAAAAGAAATGAAGAGATGAGAGAGAGGGATATGATAGGAAGACCCGAAAGGCACATCTCTGTACATGTTTCCCTTTGGTGCCAACCCCAGGGAGTTAAGTTTCTCCCTGTTCATCAGCCCCAAGAATTAAGCTTTACTCCCTTAGACAGAAAAGTCAAATTGAGTGATTAGTCCACTGACTCCAGGGCTCCACCCCAATCCTGAGCTGCAGAAGTCTGGTCAATGGCAGCACCTGTTTTGTTTGCTTGCTTCAGTCTAGTCTGGCCTTGAACCTGGGGTCTCTTGCTAGGCTAGCTCTGGAGCAGACAGATGTTGGATGTTTTTACCCTTGGGAACAGCAGTATGGCCTTGCTAGGTGGCCTCACTGTGCCATCTGGGTTATGGAGCCCTCTGGTGGCTTATTCCAGAAGCCTGCTGTAGGTCCCAGCTACTGCCAGGAGCAGGGACGACACGCTAGGAGAGGGAAGGAAGCAGGCAGCCTCAGCACATTCAGGAAGGGCTTCTTTGACCCCAACCGAGGGTTGGATGTCACTCATACAGGCCCTGGGGGAGGCAGGACCTCCTAGCCACCTTCACAATCTGGAATGGAAACTTCCAAAGCCCCGTGGACACTGGGAGCTCCCACAGGTGTCCACATCACAGCTCCTTCCACCCAAACCTTTGGCTCACTCTGTTCATACCCCTTGTCTCAGAGCACCGACTCCAGCTGTTCCCAGAGCACCCCCGGCTTCCAGATCCTACATAGACGAGGGCAGGATGCTGAAGGGGGAGGGCAGGGTCTACCTGACCGTGAGGGCAGAAGCCACATGTGGCAAGCCCAGAGCTGACCAGGACTAGGAGGTTTCAGGGGTAGCATGGCTCTGAGCAGCACCCAAGGAAAGGCACCTTTATCTCAAGAGCAGCTGGAACTTTGCACTGTGTTCTCAGGGCCTCCTCCATCCATGCCTAGGTTATTGACCCTGTCTACTGCTGCTGCCCTGGAACTCAGGACCAGCCCTTCAGTATCCCAACACTCTCTGTGCCCCCACTTCTCAAGAGAGTAGCCTGTTAAAGCACTACAGAACACGGGCTTCTTCTACTGTTCCTACTCTGCAGAACACTGTTCCTACATATGGTGGGTGGTGTGTGTGTGTAGGACTACTGCTTCCATCCTCTGGGGCTTCTGCTCACACCTCCCCTGCTAGATAGGGCCAAGTCCCCACTCCTTGGGACCTCAAGACCCCACATCCTGGAACCCAGTCAGACTCATCTACATCAGCGCCTGTCACATCCTTCCTAGACAGCCGGCCTTTACAAGGCCACAGGATCTGCCTGCTGCTGGCCCTTTGTGGCAGGAGATACAGGCAATGCCGTATCAACTACCTGTGGGTGCCCCAAGCAGTAAAGAAAGGCTATGTGGCCATGTATCTTCCAACACTGTCCACCTACCTCTCGGGGCCCCTTACCGGGATCTTGAAAGAGTCCACGGAGACCTGGTTCTCCATGGAATCCAGCGAAGGCCGTCGGGTGCCCGAGGAGGAGTAGCTGATCGGGAAGCCCTGAGCTGGCCGGCAGAAGGTCATTTCCGCGGAAGCAATGGGTGGCTTGTGCGCATGCTTGTGGTAGCGGTGGATGCAGAACGTGGACAGCAGGACCGAAATGATGAAGGAGAAGAATACGGCGGCTGTGATCACTGTGCGGCACAGCTCGTCGCACAGCGGGCCTGTGGCAGGGCACACGGACAGGGTGTCAGCAGCCTGGCAGGGACGGCACCGTGCAGGTCTGAGAGGCCACACCCCAGGTCAGACAGCAGAGGCAGCATGCCAGCCACACCAGCTGTACTGCCTTCATGTCACAAATATCTGGATGGTCATTGAGATGGTTGGAAGGGGAGAAGAAAGGACCAAAAGCTCTCAACTGCCAGGAGTGTGTCATAGAGCCAGAGGTCAGGCAAGACCCTGTAGAGGGAGTCTGAGCAATACTCTTTTCTGATCGTCCTTCACTGGGAACTTGTGGTTAGAAGATGCTCATAGGGACTCCGGCTCCTATTTGTGGTTGCACCAAAGGGCAACTGAGACCCAAAGGGAAGGAGGGAGCCTTTTGGGGTCCAATGGCCTCCCCATGGTCTCTCCCCTTGGTGGACCTCACAATTGTTGCTCAGAACCCTCTTCAGGGTTTGGGGAGGTCCAGTGAGCCCTGTGGGATGAGGTGTTCCTTACCCTGGCTGTCCTCTGGCTCACAGAAGCACTTCTTCTCATCCGGGAAGCAGTAGCAGGTACCATAGCCAGCTTTAATCCCCCGACGCTCCCCTGGCTCGTGCCCCCCAACGATGCTGCCACCTGAGGACATACGCAACCTACTCAGTCTCCTGGTACAGCCTGACACCTCAGAGTCCTCAGATCGTGACAGCATTCTCAGCTTGGTGTCAGGAGCCCAGACCCAGTGAAGGCTCAGAAGCTCTTCCGCCTGGGCAGGGGGGTTAACACAACGTCCCCTTACAATGGCTATGGAAGTAAGGGGAACCAAGACTGTTTTGAGAGTCATCGCTGAGGTCCCAGAAGGCATCATCCAAGGCTATCCCCCAATAAAAGTAAAGATGTAGAAAATAGACCAAAGGGAAGGTGGGTCCCGAGCCAGCAGAATGGGGACCGCAGCTCGTGAGTCAGCCAAGGATACGTAGGTCAGGCTACAGAAGCCCAGTCTAGGGGAACAGCAACACTCATTCTAATGAGATGATAGGAGGACTGGCTTGATGCATCCTGCCTGTTTGAACCTACTGTTACACACTTCTGTTCTTTGGTGCTGAGGAGGAGTCCAGGGCCTTACATAAGCTAAGACGGTACACAGCCGTGGTGCTATCCCCCCAGTCTAGCTTGATGCAGCAGAGAAATGTGGCTTCAGACTGTGTGCGGGTAGGGGCTGGACTTTCCAAGCTCTCCGCCACTAACTCGCCTGCCTCTGTCCTTCCCTGTATAATGAAATACATCACCGTGGGCCTAGCATGGGCTTACGGAGACAGTCCTGGGGACAAATGTTGCTATCCCGGCTCTCCACGGCGTCACAGTGGCCATCAGGACAGGTCCTGGTGTTGGGGGTGCAGGTAGAGAAGTTCCTGGTGATCCCTGTGATGGAACACAGAGCAGGGTGTCACCCACAAGAGCATATCCTACCATGGTCCCCGACTAAACCCGTCTCTCCAGAAGACAGTGGACGAGAAGACTGAGGACTACATACACCTCAGGCTGTCAGCTGAGAAATGATGGGACAGAGGTGTCCCCCCAAGGGCTGAAGTGTTGGGGAGTCCCAGGACTGCAGATAGCCTTTCGTTTAGGAGACTACATAAAGGCAAAGACCACTTAAAACTATACTGCCAGTGGGAGACATATAGTCACAGAGAGGCAGACACACCATTTGGCTGGGACCTTCCGGAAGATCCGTTCTGTCTTCTGTATATCCCTTTCAAGCCCAGAGTAAATTCAACTGAGGAACCTCAAGGTTCAAGGTGGCAAAGCTCTTGGGACCCCATACCCTGCCTTCTCTGCTGGCACTGGTTCCACACAAGGGGTAAGGCTCAGAAGGCAAGAATTGGGGAGGCTCACTGCAGGGACTGGCAGAGCCTGTAGCAACCCCTATCAAGTGGCCATCCTCACTCCTGGTGGCAGCCAGTACAGACTCCCGGGCCTACCTTTACCATCTCCCTGGCGCCATTCGCATCTGCCTGTTGGAGATCCCAGGCCACCACACTCCTCACACTCAGGTCGTCTCTTGTTGACTGCGCAGGACTTAGGACAGTCCACTTCTTCAGCAACGACTGTGAGTGACAGACACGCCAAGGTTATAAGGGCTGCTGTGGGCCCAGTCTCTAGACCTTACCCACCATGGACAGAATGAAACCATAGCTCCACTGCCTCTGTGGTTTTTGGGGTAACTAGAGAGTGTCCTACGAAAGGGGCTGGGGTGCCAGAGCCCGAGGAAGGTACTTGCTATTCTCCTGTCCGAGGAGCAGATATGGGCAGGAAGGACGTGAGGGTGACCAGTTAAGGACACACAGGTGACTGATTACCCCAGAGTTTCAGAGCAACAACCACCACCAGTTTTCTGCGATCGTCCACAACGCCCCACCCTCCATGAAGCCTGACACTCACATATCCCCTCCACTGTGACAAGCAGCGAAGCCTGGGCCTGCTGGCGGGTCGTCCGGTCAGTGGCTACCACCGTGTACTGGAGCTCGGTACATTCGGGTCGCTGCAGGGCCTCTGTGTCATTTACAAACAGGGTCCCCGAGGTGTCCTCAGCTGAGGTGACCACACCCAGCGCGCTGCAGTTGGTGCTGGAGGGTTGCAGCTTGTACTGGATGGAAATGCCGCTAAACTCCTGGCCGTTATCCACACAGACTTTCCCAATCTGGAGGGAGGAGGGTGGCACCAGTACCCCTCAGTCAGTCACTGCGAAGGTCCTTGGGTAGACCAAGTCCCAGGATGGACCCCCAACTTAGCCTGGATGGCAGGCTTCTTCAATGTACAGCCTTCTAAAGCCTCCAAAGCTCCAGGCCCACCTGCCTGGCCAACCTTCTGCTTAGACACCCACAGCAGATACACACTCCCCAGATAGCCTACACCATCAGGAATCAGACGTGAGGGCCACAGTCCCTGTCTGGGTCTCCCAACTGTTAGAGCGCTGTATCCTAGCTGCGTGACCGCAATGCTTTCACTTGTCCCACAATGCTTTTAACTTGAGGTTAAAAGGCCTCTTTATAGGGTTCTGGAAAGAGACCCCTTTCTGAGGAAGCCTGGCTCTGCAGCCAGTCACTGACTCTTTACCTCTGAGCCACTCCAGTCAGCTATGGTTGCTAGGAGCTGCAGAAGTGGTCCTGGATGTGGGGTCCCATCCACAGGTGCACAATAGGCCTAGAAGGCCAGCCTCTTAAGGCCCAGAGTAGGGACAGGTGCCCGCAGGCCACACTGACACCCTACTTTGGGCCTTAAGAGGCTGAATTCTGGCCAATTCCGTTTCCCCTATGAAGAATGCTCATTCCACCTTCTCAGATGACCCTTAAAACTATCCAAGTCACCGGCCTCAATCTGGTTTTAAAAACTATGGGAGCTGGGCGTTGGTGGCGCATGCCTTTAATCCCAGCACTCGGGAGGCAGAGGCAGGCGGATCTCCGTGAGTTCGAGGCCAGCCTGGTCTACAAAGGGAGTTCCAGGATAGGCTCCAAAGCTACAGAGAACAAAAAACAAAAAAAAAAAAAAAAACAAAAACAAAACAAACCAAACAATAACAACAACAACAACAACAAAAACTATAGGGCCAGAAAGTCACAAGGACAATGACTAGGGCTTTTCAGTTTGTCAAACAGAGGTGGACCTACCTCCAACTGAGGCCTCTAACTCCTCCCCAGGCCCTGAGTACTTGTTGTGCCTACTTCTGATCTGATGTTAACACCCCGAAGAATGGGCCAAGGGATAGATCTGCAGGTGGGTTCCTGTACGCTGGGGACAGGAGTCAGTGGGGGTCTGGGGCTGATTGTAAGAATGGGGAAGACCGTGGGGACATTAGGGGACAGTCCTGAATGTACACTCTGAAGATGGATCAACCTGCCGCCGTCAGTTAAGCCATGCATACCCAGACGGCAAATAAACCCGGAGTACACTTAAGAAAAGCCAAGCGAGGACACAAATGCTTATCAGTGGTGGCAAGGGGTGGCAGAGGGACAAACCTACTTTCTTCCCCGTTATCCTTAATGAACACTCATGGCTTGTTTTTCACTCTTCTAGCTTTTACGTATTTTACGGGCACTCAGGACAGAACCCTGTACCTGCCAGGAAAGCTCTATACTACTAAACGTGGCCCCAGTCTATTACTTCCTCACGTCAATTATAAAGTTTCTGAAGACAAACACAAACATTGCATTGTGATTTCTCTAGCACATAAACGTACAAAAGCAGACGTGACCCTGGCCTTCTCCTCACAGGGCGCGACTGCCACCCACTGTCTGCCTCATGCGCAAATGCTCCCCAACAAAAATCTGCTTTTGCGCTGATGGCATCACCAGAGGCCAGTGGTTCCTCAAACCCCCTTTCCCGCTGATCAGTACACCAGGAACATCTTTCCAAGACGGCTTATGTAGGGTGACCAGAAGATGGTTTTGTATTAGTGCAAAATGCTTTAAAGATACCAAGAAGTGAGATGGTAAAAAAAAAATGGGGTGTGTGTGTGGAGATCGCTCCAGGAGCTAAGAAGGACTTCTCCAGTGAAAAGGTACACACATGGGCTCAAGGTTTCACCTGGAACCTTCCATGGCTCCACCTATGCTAACTCTACACTGGCAGGCTAGGGAAGAGGTGCCATCCACCCACAACTCCGACTGCAGTCTTAGGACCCCCCCATCTCACGTCACGCAGTGGGCCGTGTGCTCACCTGGGCATAACGGTGGGCCCTCCTATTCACTGGGAAGAAGTAGTCACTGGGTAGACTCAGGGTGACAGGCAGCACAGACACGTTGAAATGGAGGAAGAGGACACCTGTCCCAGGCCCCTGGAAGTCAGAGTCATTGACCATGACCACCAGCTGCAAGACTCGGCTCTCTGAGATGGGGAGGCTCCGATTGAGGACCAGCTCTGTAGGTGGGGACACAATGAGACAAAGCCAGTTACTAGGCTTCGAGATCATGCCCTATGCCACACGCGACACTCCCATTTCAACATACAACCATGCACACATGATACCTTCATGGACATGACCAGATAATAAACAGGCCTGGTGGGCAGCCTTGCTATAATACTAGTTACTGAAAAACTGGAATTCTTCTGTGTTAGATCTCTAGTCTAAACTAGATTATGGGTGTGTGGACACATTCACGTGTGTGTGTACATGTGTTTCAGAGACAGAAGGTACACGTGCATATGGATGGTGCATGTTAATATATATTATGTCCTGTGATTTGACATGCATGTGGAGTAAATGTGAATTTTTGTGGGTGTAGCATGTTATGTGGGTGTGGCATGTGTGAGTGACATATTTAATGGTGGGTGTGTGCAGAAATAGCATGTGTAAATGGGTTTGTGTATAGGGTGTTTGCACAGCATTTGTATACACAGAACATATATGCTTACATACAGATTGGCTGTGGCACTGGAGGGGTGTGCTCTGTGGTTCTGGTATGAATGGTTGTATGTGTGTAATGCATGCGGTTTTCATTTGTTGGGTGCTTGTGCACAGAGTGCCCTGAAGTTCTGGGAAGACATCACACCATTGGCTCCTTACTGTAATCATGCATGGTGGCCCGCACAGAGTTGTTGTTGGCCTGGGCCAAGGTCTCGTTGGGTGAGTGCTCCACCCGGAAGTTCTGCTGGGCCCAGGAGTCCCCCGAGAGCAGAGTGCTTGTGTACCGCCTCACCAGCTCCCCAGATGCTGGCACCACATCTGCATCAAACACGTGCAGAGTGGCCAGGACAGTGCCCTGCAGGGAACAGAGAGTGCCGGTCAGAGCAGGTATAGTTAGAAGACCACACGACCTAGCACAGCCCAGAATTTACAAAGGCAGACGGTCAGAACTGATAAAAGCTATCCCCAGTAAGAGTTGTGGGCAAATCCACAGGGCCACTTGGGTCACCCCCTAAGGGTGTCCAATCAGACATTCTCTCCCCCTCCCCAGTTAACCTGCACCTGGTTCCTAGAGAAGTAACTTTCCCCCTTGCTGTTGAGCCCAGGAGCATTCTGCAGAGTGGTATGGTGCCCAGCAGGTGGCAGTAGTACATCACCTAGGTTGGTCAGAGCAGCATGGGCAAGGACGTTTTCTCAGAATCACCTCCTGGCTCCTGACTGTCTCAGAGGCTCTTGTGACAGATTGCCCAGCTGCCAGCAGAAGGGAGCAGAAGGGAGTACCCTCTTTCTTTCCAGGTCAGACAAGCCACAATGTTCTCCTGGTCGTCTCCCTGGGGCCCTTGGCCTGACTGGACACAAACTAAGCACCCCAGGCTGGGGTCTTCACAGAGTCCAGTTTCCTACAGGCTATCTGGCTGGCAGTCAGCCAAACAGACAAGACAAAAGGGACACGTAGGGAACCACAGGACAGAATGGCTGGCGGAACAGCTCAACAGATCAAGGTATAAACCACCAACAGAGACATAGGACAAGACAGACAGACAGACACAACTGTGAACAAACCTCCTTCCGTTTAAACTCCACCACGGCACTGGCAGTGTCCACGCCTCCGGGGAAGGTGGGAGCCGAGTCGTCCTCATCATATACGGTCACTGGCAAGGACATGGCCACCTTTTCTTCATGGTCACCAGAGCCCACTATGCACTCGGCCTCCAGCACGTACTTTTCCTGAAGCTCCCGGTCCAGGGCCCAGAGTGTGCTCACTTCCAGGCTGTCGGGGTCGCAATGGAAGGGCAGACTCTCCCCTGTCACCAAGCAGAAGGGATCTCGCATTACCACAGAGTAGGGAATGGGGCGTGGACTGCCTTCCTTATGCTTTACCCGACTCTGTGAGAACTCTGGCGCCCTGGTGGCTGTCTGTCCCTTTGTAGCCCCACAGAGACAATGGCACTCACTACTCCAAATGTAGGCTGCTGCTTGAGGTGTGTGTTTACTACCTTTATTTGTGGCTGGGACTCATTCATGCACACAGGTAAACAATTGTTGACACAGGGTCAGCTCTCTTAAGGCAGGGAGGAGCTCCCAACCTCTGTAGTGGGCTCGGGGTGGGGTCCAGGAGAACAGAGTGCAGGCTGAGAACCAGCTCAGGTACTAGCTGGTTTAAGAATGATGTTAGTCATTTTTTTTTAAAAAAAAAAACCACAGACATGGTACTTCTCAGTTTAGACAATGTGAGACAACAGCACAGTTCCCTGACTTGAAAACAAACAGTGGACATCCGGGCACAATTGACATTAAAACACAGATGTTTCTGGATGTGGTTTGCATTTCTGCTATCTATCTCCTGGGTGTGTGACCACATTGGTCTCTTGGGGCCTTCATTTCTATTATAGCAGACTGGATTTCAAAGGGTACAGGTCCACTTGGTCCAAAGGGCCAGCTCCCCAGCAAGGTCCACCGTGCTCGTTGACATTAGCAGAACCGATGGAACTGGGATGCACACCCCACATCTAGTTCAGGAAGACCCCATCTAGGTCCCTGTAAGAGCATGCCAGGACACTCCCCGATTCTCATGCCGATTCCAGCCTCATGTCAGTCCATCCCCTTACTCATAGGTCTCCCCGGTACCTCGTCTCCATAACTCCACCACCATATATAATCCTGACACCGAACCATACCCAATGGAGAAGTTCGACTAAGCCTCTCAAATGCAAGTGGAGACTTCTCATACCCTCTCCCTGCTTGCCTTGCTCCCCATCCTCCAGGGAACAAAATCCTAAAATGGTTCCTGCCTCCGTGGCTAACTGCACTCCAGCACCAGAAGTCCCTGCTTTGGCAGAGTCGGGTGCCAAACCACCTTGCTGAGTGTCCTCTACCCTGATCACACAACTGAACGTATGCTCCATCACTTCTGGTGTGTCCTCAACACATCATGGGCTCTACCCTCTAGAGGATTAGAGGCTACAAGCAGGCAAGATGCCAGGCCTGTTTGTTTACAGTAGTATCCCAACCTTCTACAACAATATTGGGCCCATGACAGACACTCGTGAGATATTGCTGGAATATTAAACAGTGGCAAAAGATGACAGGTGGCTCACCCAAAGGGAATAGCACTATGCCTTCTGTGCAACAGAACAGAAGAATAGTGTCCCCTCCCCCCAGGCTGGCACTCACTTTCCAAGAGCCTGTAGGCCACACTGATGTTCGGGCAAAGGGACTGCACAGGCAAGAGCTGAAACCGGTAGAAGGTGCCAGGGGGCCTGTTCTCCCTGATGCGGAATGACAGGCCTGTTTCTGGGATGCAGAGGTCCTGGGGTTTGAGGGAGCCACATGCTGGGAAGGAGTCATTCATGAAAGAGAAGTACACGCGGGCACAGCCTGGCCAGTGGCATTCACCCTCTCGCTGGGTTGCGGACCCCAGGAAAACCTGGAGGAAGATGGTGAGCAACGGGAAGCCACCATCTGTAGGGAGAAAAGAAGACAGCCCCCTTTCAGATGAGGGATGAAGAGTAGGGCAGGGATTCCAGGGTTCAGTGTGTCTACAAAAGCCCCAGCTGCTACCTCCCCAACTCTGCTGCAGGATGCTGAGGCCTTGGTCTGCCTCTCTTGTCCTTCAGGTTTCTGTTCAAACAGCCCCTCCTGAGGGAAATGCTCCAGCCCTGGGGCTAACATTCCCTGGGCCCCTTCGGGTAAGTGACCTGGCAGCACAGGCTCCTTCCTGCACCAGCTGCACTCCCTGGCCACTAACACCAAGAGCTTTTCCCCAGATACATCCCAAGGACATACTTCATCAACACCTAGAGGAAGAATTTCCCGTTCAGTTCTACGACTGAGGTACACACCCTTGGTTAGTGAGGTCTAGACCTTGGCTGAGGCCCGCGTCTCCCTGGGCCTCCACCTTAAGCCTGGTTAGTGGCTACAGGGTTCTCTTCGGTTTCTCTTATTATTATACTAACTCCCGTGGCACTTAAGTGTTCTTTGAACAAGCTATCCAGATTGCTGTGTGCTTAATGCGACGTTGCTACTGTTAGGAATCCTAGTGTAAATATCTCTATGCAATCGGGTGGGGGTTGTGACCCACAGGTTGAGAAGCAGTTGTACAGAGCATGCTGACAGGTTAACTGTCCATCTCGGGCACCCTCCCATCTTACGATACTGGCTGTGTTCGCCAAACAGGTCAGTTACTCTCCACACCCTGGGCTAGGTAGCTCACCCTTTACTCACAGTATTCTACCCTATCCCTCACTTGCAGACAGGAGTGTAATGAGTGACGTCATGCCTCAGAGGAAGTGCTGGGAGGTGTGAGCTACCGCGTTCACACCACCACAGCGTGCCACGCGGATCCCCCCATTCCCGCACACCAGAGCTAGCATCCTGTGTGGTCTTGACTGCAGCTCCAGCCTCAGCTTTTGTTGCTGTCTAGGTCTCCACCGGCTCTGCTTCCTTCCTGGACACCTCTTCCAGCCTCTTGCAGATGGGGAGACATGCTTCCCAGGAGGGACCTGGTGTTCTTCAGCAAGTTCCAGGTCACCAGCTAAATTATCCCCCTGGGGATTTTCCAGCTCCTTGGACACTCTCTCTCACAACCTGCACACCCTTAGCGCCCCACTGCAAATAGCATCTGCTCCACTTAGACAGAAAGAGCCAAGTCATTTGATGGTCCTCCCAACTCCCAATAGCCTCAGGAGGCCCAGGAGTAATTAATGCTCCCAAAGTCAGGGGTCCCTTATTAAACTGGCTACAAAGCAGCTGCCTTCACCCCACACTGTACACCCTTGCCCACAGGAGCCTGAAGGAAGCCATCCCTAGCCACACAGACTGGCAGCTAAGATGACGGCACCGTGAGATCTAGGCCAAGGTAGAATGGGGATGGGGTGCCAGGTTATTCCCTTACTGCGAATGCTGAGCTGCTCCCAGGAACTGTGGTCCAGGCTCTGGTTGAGGTAGAGAAGGCCAGTGTCCTCATGGATGCGGATCCAGTCATTCTCATGCAGCCGTGTGCGGTAGGCGCTATAGAGATGCTGGCCCAGGCGGAAGCTGGGCACTTCTTCAGGACTATCCCGTAGGGCATGGACGTAGAGCAGAGGTGTGCCAGCTGGCTGGTCTACATACAGCCTCTCCCAGTAAGCATCCCTTGAGAAGTAGAGGCCCAGTGGGGCTGCAAGAGACAGGAGAGTGTGTGAGCCGCGGTGGGAGAAACAGCTTCTTCATGGTCAAAAGGCATGATTAACTTTAAATTCTAACCTTAGCAAGAATTTCTCACCTTAAGTCCAAAGAACATGAACACTGCTAAACATGCCTGATAATCACACCATATTAAAGCAAAGATAGAAAAATAAATAAGGAAGAGGGAGTGGGGCAAAGTACAAAACAGTCGCAAAATAATTCTCAGCTACCTCAATGTGGTGAGCCCTGGGATCATACATGATCCAGGAATTTAATAAGCTTCTTAACAAATCACCGGGGGCCAGAGGATGTTTCATAGATATGAGACACTGCTAAACAAGCAGGGCAGATATCAGTCACCACAAACAGAGAGCACCGTAAAGTGATTATCTTTATCAGAACATGCTCCTACATATAACCCAGCAACTTCACTGCATTTATCCAGCAGAACCTAAACCACCCATCCATCAAGTATCCTAATACTACATGGCAGAATTACTCAAGGCAACACAGATGCCCTTCGGTGGGGATTCGGAGAAGCAAAGTGGTACATACGTGCCATAGAATTCTAGGGCACTAATGAAAAGGGATGGACCACCGCTGCACACGTTCACCTGGGTGGGTCACAGACATCCTGCCCAGTGGAAGCCGTCAGGCAGAGTCTCAGCAGGTTTCAGGTGATCAGGAGGGCTGTTACGTGGGTATAGGATTGACAGCCTGGGAGTGGCAGACAGTGAATTTGGGGGGAATGAAAATACCCGATGTCCTGCTGAGGAGCCAGATCATGTGGGCATAATCTAGTTCCTAGCACTACATAGCTAAGATGCTTGTCTTTCGATCAGTGATGGCTCATCTTGTTAACTTGACTGGATTAACGAGCACCTCAGAGGTTAGTGAGGTGCACATGCGCTCTGGGTGTGTCTGTGGGGCATCTCCAGAAAGGATCAACTAAGGGGGGATCGGCCCTGAGAGTGGGCTGCACTGTCCCAAAGGCTGAGGGCCTGGATGACGTAACAAAACGAGTCAGGAATTTGTCTTTGCTTCCTGCCCAGCTCCATCATGCCCTTCCAGTCAAGCCAAACTTAACACTGTTAGACCCGAGGAGAAAAGTCAATTCCATGACTGTCTGACTAAAGTAAACTGTATTTAGAACTAGCCAGCTGGCTACCTCTCCTGAAGTCAGGATTTCAGGGAGAAGCAGGCCCTCACTAGCTTTTGAGGTCTCTTATGGGGAAGGGCTAGGGGTGATAGGTAACAGCTGCCAAGGTAATTAGCTATCAGTACCTGGACAGAAGAGTGGGGGGGGTCTCTCAGGGCTGCCTGTGGGGTAGGTAAGTGCAGGAAAACATCATACAGAATGAGAATAATCAAGATATCTTGGAAGACAAATGGGCAATCGTATTTCACAGGTTTAGGAGTGGAGTTTAGCAAGGCAAAGAAGTAGACATGTATCATGGGGCTAAAAGTTTGGTGTTGGCTGAAAAACATGGTTTTCCGGCTACCTGGGCTCAGGAAACAAACATTCTTGTAAGGTATGGGGCCTTAATAACAATGTATCACAATGTGGCTCCTTAACAACAATAGAGATCCTGTTTTGGTTTCACAAACCTGGGCCAAAACATGTTTATCTCCTCTAAGGTGTTTCTGGGCGCTGTTTTGGTCACAGCTATGGAAACAAACTAACAGAAGGCCAGGAAGAATCACAGAAATGCTCATCAGAAAGCGCTGTGGACGTTGGCCTTGGCTGAGCCTCGTGCTATACTGACTTTGTGTAGTATGCCCAGTAACTTTCTGGATAGTGGTTTCAAACAGTAACAAGAGCTCTTTCTAGAAGCCTTGTGCATGCTGCGGGGGTTTGAAATGATGTGGGTGCTATAGACAACATGTCAAGATCCCTTAAACTATGCAACCAGACTCCCCATAGGATCCAGCAACTCCATCTCAGAGCATCATCCCAACTAACTTAAATCCCAAAGTGATTTACACATCCATTTTATAGTAGTACTCATCACAACAGCCAAAGGCGGATGCAGCTTTAGTGCCTATAGATGGGTACCCAGAATGTGGAATGAACAGCCACACAGCATTCAGCCTTAATCTTAAATGAAAGGTATTCCGATATTGTGCTGGTTATAGTTTTATGTCAATTTGAACAAGCTAGAATCATCAGAGGGGAGGGGATCTCAACTGAGAAAATGCCTCCATAGGATGAAGGCAAGCCTACAGAGCATTTTCTTAATTAGTGATGGGGGGCGCCTATTGTGAGTCTTGACATCCCTGGGCTGGTGGTCCTGGGTTCTATAAGGAAGCAGGCTGATCAAGCTATGGGGGCAAACCAATAAACACCCTCTTCAGCAGGACCTGTCCCTGTTTGAGTTCCTGTCCTGACTTCCTTCAATGATGTGGAAAGGTCAGCCAGAATTAACCCTTTCTTTCCACAGCAACAGTTACCCTAGCAATAGTAACCCTAGCTACTACAAATGCCATTTGCAAAACTCAACCAAGGGGTTGGAGACATAAGCCAGCAGTTAGGAGCCGTTTCTTGTCAGGCATTTAGACATAAAGACAAGAAAATAACTATCCAAACCTAAGCAAGCGGCTTGTTCTGAATCATTTGGCTGGAACCACAGATGTAGGCCAGCGAGGTGGGACTCTCCTAGGAAGTGTGAAGAGAAGACAGTGTCAGGACAGGGGTAGCCTGGCTTGGAGGGCAGAGGACTGAAGAATATGTAAATTCAGGAAAGAGAGCTGAAAGTGGCAGATGCTGACAGGAAGTCTAGCTTCTCGGGGCTCAGAGACCATGACTTCGGAAGCCCTGTCAGAAACGACAGTTCGAATCAGCTTGTGGACTCCAAGGCAAGACAATGAATTAAGTCTGGGGAGACAGGGTGCACAATGTCTGGCAGAACTGGGGCACTGGCTTGGGCAAGGACTTTACATTTTGTGCCTTATTTTCCCTTCTGCTCCCAAGGAGATTAAACCCTTCCTTTTCATAGGGTTGTTGGGAGCAAAATTTAGTTGACGGATGTGAAGTTCTGATGCTTTCTGCCATTCCTATCATCTCCATCCCCAGACCTCTATCTCCATCCTCTCCATCCCCAGACCTCTATCTCCATCATCTCCATCCCCAGACCTCTATCTCCATCCTCTCCATCCCCAGACCTCTATCTCCATCCTCTCCATCCCCACACCTCTATCTCCATCATCTCCATCCCCAGACCTCTATCTCCATCCTCTCCATCCCCAGACCTCTATCTCCACCCCAGACCTCTATCTATCTCCATTATCTCCCATCAGCACCAGAACCACTTGCACAATCATAACTGTCATTTCCATCTGCCCCACAACTATTAGCATCCCCTCCAGACCCGTCTTCTGAGTTCACACACACCATCCCTTCAAGTCTGGACCCCTAGTATAAAGCAGAAGACTCGGTGTGCACTATCTCTGTAGACACCTGTCTTACTAGGCTTCCAGAGCAGGGTGGCTGGTAGCAGCTGGACAGAACAGACCTGGTACGGGGTGGGGCTGCTGCTGGCTTGGGAGGCTCTGCGCTCCCTGCGCACGCCCAGGTATGGTCCTCACCTGCCCATCCTGAACTGGTGCTGCAGGATGGCATCTCTCTTTATCATGGTAGTTCTGCCCCCAGGGCTCAGCCCTCCAAAGCCTCCCCTCATACTGCTGGGGTTAGGGTTTAATTGGTCACTGGCATAGCCAGACCCGAGCTGCCTTCTACACACAGACCCAGCCTTCTTCTCCAAGAAACACAGGCACCAGGCTTTATCCAGTCCGCACTGCAGCTACCACCTGCATTTCCATACCCACCCAGACCAGCTGCACTGGCCTCACTGAGATGAAGGATGCCCCCACCCAAATATGATTTCCCAGCTGCTACTGACTTAATCGTGGGTCTTGCTGGCAGTTTCTTCCGGCTTTTATACAAAGGAAACTGCCAATTAGGTTACAATTAATTTCTTTCCTAGGGCAGGCAAGGCCTGGCCACCCAAGTGGTCTATAGATGACCGTGTGTGGGAGACCAGGCCCCTTTAGCTCCAGGGCTCTCTCTAGTACTTTTGGCCTTAACTACTGCTGGTGCCACTGGGCCAAGACACTATCAGCTTTGACCCTGACGACTCCGGACTGTGCAGCTGTCCCCACATACCCAGCAGAGCGGCCTGACTGAGAACATGGCCACATGTTGAGTGGCCACCCCACATACCTCAAGCTCATTTTAAACACTCCATCCTAATGCCCCCTGTGTCACCTTCAGTGTGCACCGATGACATTTCTATAGTGCTGTTTGAAGGACATCAAAACGCCTAATGGATGTTAGGATTCCCATCTCGCTGAGCAATAAACCAAGACAGAAAATGGCCCTAGGCCATCCAGAGTCATTTAAGACTTAGCCGGACTGGCCCAGGCTCCTCTGTTCAGTGACAGCTGTTCATATAGTGCTTTTGAGAAATCAGGTCACAGAGATCCAGGACAAGGGGCCTTCCACTTACATGCCTGCAGTAGCAGGCTGAAAATGCTAGCGGGGAGACACATCCATGTCTTCCCAACTCAAAAAGGTGGATGCCCCTTGAGGCTGGAAAGTCAGGGGCAGTTCAGTGTGTCCTGACCAAGGGGCAGCAAGAGGCCACTTTGATCTCTGGAGCAGAAGCAATGGGCCTCTTCTTGGGAAGGGGAGACAGATAAAGAAGTTCCAAGCTTCCACTATAGAGGATAGTGGGGAGGAGGAGATAGAAGCATGGGACCACACAGGATTGGTTTCTGGCTTCGAAGGACCCAGGGTCAAACGCTCCGGAATCCTGGGGTCCCTGGTATGACAGGGGAGCCATTGCTGAAGGCCCATCACTGGTACCTGGACCTTGTCGGTTTTGGTCATAAACCCTGAGCGGGGATGCAGAAGAGAGGCCACTGCCTCCGCACAGGCTGTGATCCCTGCAACACAGCTCTGGCCGGCAGCATGACATCACAGCAGCAATTACC